CCCCAAAACCCCAAAACCCCAAAACCCCAAAACCCCAAAACGAGTTAAAAATATTTAAAAGAGTGTTTATGGACGACGATTTATCGCTAAATATAGTGTCTACCCCTGCTGTAACCAGGCCAAGTAAGTCAGACCAAGGAGACGCACAGAAGAAGCCTAAAAGAGAGTAAGTGTCATTCCAGGTTGCTGAAATCCCCATTTTACCTATTTTGCTAAATTTATTTGAGAACAAATTTAATTGGCAAATTATAGCAAATCACGGTTTAAGAAAGGAATTGCAAAGAAGCGCCAGAGAGAAAGAGGATCCAGAAATTCAGGAAGAACCTTGAAAGAGCAGAGGGTTGATAATTATCAAGGGCCTAGCTTTGCTCAGGACGAATTTGACGCTCCAGATCCAGTCCCATCACAATGTTCCACATCTAGGCCAACCAAAGAGGAGACCAAGATCAGGGATCAGATCCAAGACAACCAGAAGAGCATTGAGAATGAAGAATTTGGTAATACAAGTACTTAACTTTGTAGTGGAGACTTCTAAGAAAAGAGTTTTCAAGGAAAACGAGAAGAAAGGACACTTCAAAAAGAAGAAATTTGAAGACCTTACTAAAATGAACCTCGACTGGAAAGACTCAGGGGCAGAAACCAAAGAGACTCCTTCAGAGCTGATTAAGAGAGATGTTATTTCAGCAGAAAACTTTGAAGAACTACCTTTGGAAGATAGACTTAAGAAAATTTTAGAGAATAATGGGTACAATAAAATGACCAAGATCCAGAAGTCAGCTATCCCAGTGGTTTTACAGAATAATAACGTTCTAATCAAAGCAGAGACTGGATCTGGTAAGACACTTGCGTACTCAGTTCCATTGGTGCAGCACTTGGTCGAGCTCTCTGAGACACAAGAGAAGATTTCGAGGGAGCATGGTACATATGCGATAATATTCTCACCTACAAGGGAGTTGTGCCTCCAGATAGAGAATACTTTGAAGAAGTTGCTCAACCCATTCTTCCATTTCATAAATCCTGGGTGCCTTATGGGTGGAGAGAAACCTAAGAAGGAAAAATCAAGAATTAGAAAAGGAATTAACATACTGATATGCACACCCGGAAGGCTTGTATATCACCTCAATAATACCAAATCTCTCAACTTCAGCAGGCTTAGATATCTGATATTTGATGAGTCTGATAGAATCCTTGATATGGGATTTGAGAAGGAAATGATCCAGTGTTTGAAAGGAATCAAGAGAAAAGCTCCTCAGATCTTCACTAGAGGGGATGAGAATAACCTCCTCACAACTCCTCAGTGTAAAGTTAATCTAGTCTCAGCAACTCTTGGTAAAAAGGTCAATAATCTCTCAACAAGGTTGATGGAAGGCGAGGTCAGAGTTGGATTTGAGGCCCAAGAGGACGAGAAGGAGAGTAGAGATGAGGAGAATATCATAGATTTGAGGAATACCATTCCAGATAGCATCCAACAGCATTACCTCTCTGTGCCAGATAACAAGTTCAAGTGGCTATACCTCCTTGCTTTCTTGAATTATCACCAAGATTCGAAGATCATTGTTTTTCTATCTACTTGTGACTGCGTTGATTACTTCGTTCAACTGCTGAAGAAGCTGAACTGGCTGAACCTGTTGAAAGACCGGAAAGGTCAAGAAGAAAACACTGATGAATCCATTTTATTCGAGAACCAGGTGTTTTCACTCCATGGAAAAATGAAACATACTGAGAGAAAGATTGCTTTTAGCAAATTCGATAAGCTGGAGAATGGAATCCTGATTAGCACAGATGTTGCCTCGAGAGGGCTTGACTTCAAAGGTGTCAAATGGGTAGTCCAATTCGATGTTCATCCTTCCTTGAAAGAATACGCTAACAGAATTGGTAGAACAGCACGTCTGAATGAGAATGGAAGCAGTCTGATCCTCATCAACCAAGATACAGATATGGCTTATATAGACTGATTAACAAATTACGGAGCAAAGATTTCAGAAATGAATCGTTTCAAGCTTCTCCAGGAGTTCACAATCTTCGCACAGAAGAAGTATAATGCTGAGAATAAGGGTACAAGAGTGTTCACAGCTGATATGAAGGAGGTAGAGGATGAAAAGTACGAAATCCTTCTGTTCCTAAAGTTGCTCATTCGTGATACTTTGAAAGAGTACCCAGACCTTGATAAACAAGAAAGAAAGGTTTGTATTTATAGTCTAAAATTTAGTCCTACAGCTCAGGCAACCAAGCAAGGTATGGATTCGGCATCCAATTGAGAAAACTTTACAAAAAGTGCGAGATTGAGTTTGTAGAGAAGGTCAAATTAGTCTCCAGGAAGACCAAAGCTGACATCGTGAAAGTTGAATTGCAAAAGAAAGAGAACTCTAAATTCGCCAAGGATACTAAATTCAAAAATTATGCTAAGCAAGTCAAGGTTAGCGGCAGAGATAAGAGAGAGAAAGAGTTGATGCAGCTTAAATATGATAGAATGAATAGTGGTGCCATGCGAAAATATCACAATGAAGGAAATCTGGAATTTATGTAACCAGTTTTGAGATTTCAATCTTAATTTGTATATCAGGGGTTTTGGGGTTTTGGGGTTTTGGGG